GACCATTTGACATGGGTCGACATGAAGATACCTGAAGTACGTGGTGGTGTAAGGTTTTCATTCGTTTTCTACTAGAGGTTGACTGATTTATTTTCTGTAATATTTAATTATCAGAACTTAAATAAAGACTAAACCAACAGTTCTAAGGACTTGAGTCATGACTCAGTTCAAGTTTTTTATTTATTTTTTTATCAAACTTGTTTTTGTATTGTATAAAAACTAATCTGGTCTGGTCTAACCAGTCTTTTAATCAGAACACGTTTCCTCCATAAAGGTGTTAAAGTCAAAGGCAACTCAAATAAAATAAGTGGTCAATTCCTGGTTAATACAACACTCGTAAATAATAGTTTGCGCTTGAATATGTGCGTAAGACTTTGGGCTAAAAAGTTTGACTAAAAAGCCTCCTGTCTGACAGTGATGGCTGCTGTGACTTTTACTTCAGTTTAGTTTAGTTGATTAAACCCCAGAAATGACAGGAGTCTTTTTAGACCAAACCCCAAAGTACTTCTCATTGACCGTTAATGCCTCTGTGGCTGCACAGAGCGACTCTTCAGAACTCCAGATCTCCTGCTGCTTCCTGATGCTGTAGTAACCGTTTACAGCCAGCAGGGCCAGAAGCTCTGTGTTTGTCTTTTAAATCTCTGCCAAATCGAACTGCTTTCAGACTGTGCGTTTCCACCTTTGTTTAATCTAATATTATCTCGACATTTCCCTGCTGCGATCCCAGTGTTTTTGTTTGTTCTTACCTAAAATCGAGCTGCGTCCGGTTGGATTTCTCTGTTTGGTCAAGGTCACAAGTCATTTAAGAGCTTCTGTCTGTGAAGTAGTGAGGAGATACATGGTATATGTGGAAATAGATCAGTTTTCTATTAATGATCTCTGCTCTGCTCTGCTCTGTGTGTGTGTGTGTGTGTGTGTGTGTGTGTGTGTGTGTGTGGTCTCTGATCCCCTGCCCCCAGCAGCAGACTGAACACTGGAGCTGAAATCTTGAGTTCAGGGCAGGAGTGCGAGTCAGAGCGAGACTCTCCGCGGCGTGTAGCTTTTTGTCGTAAACTTTGACGTAAAGTCACGAAGCAGGTCCTTCAGTAAAATCACACCACGTCAGTGAGTGTCAAATATGTACATGACTTCATCTTCATCTTCATCTTCATCAGTCAGTTTTTAATGGAGCCACAGTTATTTCTGTGGTGTTTTTCACACTTTTATGATTCTGTGTCTAAGAGTACGGCCTTCAGGAAGTATTACATTACATTACATTACAATACATTACATTACATTACAATACATTACATTACAATACATTACATTACATTACATTTAGCAGTCGCTTTTATCCAAAACGACCTAAAATTGCAGTCAGTCAATCAAGATACAGTAAATATAAAAATAGCAAAAATACATCAATAATAATACATAGTAATAAATAATAATAAATAATAAATAGAAAGTACAGTTATAGTCATAGTAGGTAGTCGTAAAAATAGAACAGTATCTCAGAAAAATATGTCATATTAGGAAGTACTTAGTGTGATAAGAATATTCATTTGGTAATAAAACAGTATTTTAGTAAAGGACTGTCGTCCATTGTTCATAATGATATTAATAATAATATTAATAATAATGATTGCATTAATATGTAATTAAGTCATATTTAGTGTTAATTAATGCTTCAACATTTCAATTTGCTCAGACCTAGTTTTGCGTAAACTCTTTCAATAAGTTCATATTTTTAAAAGTTAAAAGTTTAAGCAACTTAACATCAAACCAACTAACCAACCGATGACTACTTTTAAACTTTATTTCAACCAGACCTTAGAAATATTGTTGATTTTCATGACAAAGTTATCTGCCAGCTCCTGCTGGGCACCAGTGGTACTGCATTTAGACCTGTATTTATATACAGAGAGGTGACGGGTGTATTTTGTTTTTGTGATATTCAAACTACTGACATTAACTCTCAGTTAACTTTGGTGTTCTGCTCATTGGTCTAAACAGAACACACAGATCCGTGCTGCGACCAGTTGTTGATGTGTAAACACGATACACCGTC